CAATTGTATGTTGCCACTGGGCAAGTTTTGTTTTGCATAGGATTTCAGTATCACTGTTTTCCAACTCTGATCTATTGGTCCCCAGGTTTAGAGGAATGAACAACGATTAGACAGCTGCATTCCTGAGAAGACCACACACAGGGGACCTCTTAGAGGTCTATAACATATTAAATGGGATTGAAATAGTACAATTAACAAGGACAATACCTTAGGATACACTGAGACAACAAGATATAGGTTTAAAGTTTCAAACAGTGGTTTCAGGATAGATACCAGGAAGTTTTCATTTAATCAGAGGGTAATCCACGACTAGAACAGGTTGCCAAGAAGTGTGTTTGAGGCCAAGTAACTGAACGCATTTGAAAAGCAGCTTGATGCTACAATAGTAGGATGTGTGTTCTGGAGGAATGAGATCAGATGGGCCAAAGGCCCTTCTTCATCTGAACCAATGTTGTGAACTGATGACTTTAGCCTGAAAGTGATAAGGCCAGATATTTTTCCCTTTCTAAGTTTTGCTCCCCTGAAGCCAATGGCTCACTTGCTGTGCTATAATTCTCTTTGAGCGCCGGATGCTCTTTGGTATCTAGCCTATGTTCATTCACCATGGGGGAGCCTATATAGTCAATGAAGGCTATTTTACTTTGATGGCTAAGAATGGAGCTCTTTTTGCAATGCATTCCCATAAGGAAATCCCAGAGTATCGGCTGGTGAACTGGCATTGTAGAGGAACTCTCTACCTCAATCTCTCTGCCTCCCCCATTTTTAATCTAGCTTTCAATCCCACTTTAAAACTTCACTGTGCCTATTTGGTCACATCTCCCCTTCATGAAAGGTGCTGTATAAATGCAACTTGTTGTGGTTGAAGTGTTTCACAAAGATAGAGTAGAAATGTGAGGGTGGAAGAGGTTAATAGGAGAGTGTTGACCAAAGGCATAGTCGAAGGGGTAGATTGTTAGAAAAGTTCTGAAAGTAAAGAGAGAGAGAGAGAGTAAAAGAGAGAGAAAGAGAATGGGTGGTTCATAATGAAAGTGACATTGTAAATCACCAAATCACAAAGGTGCAGAAGAATGAAATCTTGGATAAACCAGGATAACAACAACAACAAAATTACATTTGCATAGCACCTTTCATATCGGGAGGACAACCCAAGGCGCTGGACAGACAGAGTTTCGGACCTGAGGTGGGGGTAAGAGAAAGAATAAAAAAACTTGCAGGGTTGCATATTCTGCACAAGGAGCACAACCCGCAGTGTATCTGAAACCGGTGCAGAAACACGCACCACAGAAAGAGGTGGGATCTTGAGTTGCAATCGGCCCACTGCCTGCCCACTCAGAAGCTATGACACACATCAGGCTGCTAGGAAATCCTGATGCAATTCTCCTGCTGACCTTGGATGGAAATCAAAAGTGAGCCCATGTGCTGGTCAGGTAATGTGAACAAGTGACTGGAACCAGCCTTCTGCACCAACCCTAAGGGTAATCTCATTACTTCGGATCACCCAGACCCTAACTGAATGTGATTTTTACTGGGCTGCAGTACAAATTTGAATGAAGACTTAGTACAGCCTATCAATGATTTATATAGAATCATGCAGCATATAGACTATAGATATGTTCATAGCCCTAGATTTGTGCACCCTTTTAAACATAATTTCATCACACTGAAGCAGAGTTGCATTTGACCACCTGGAATAAAATAGTTCCCTTTCCCCAAGGCAGCTTCATTCGGGATCAGCCCAATTCACTGTAATCCATTCTAATGGTTTACATGCTAATGAGCTCAAATGTCACTAAGATGGACACTAGTACAACAATAACAAAAGCATATTTATATATCGCCCTTCATGTAGGGAGGCATCTCGGAAGCCTAAACAGTGGCAAAGCTTGACACTGAGCTCGAGAGAGAGGGGAGATGACCTTAGACACAGTCGAAGAGGGAGGTCTTCAGGTGTGAACTGAAAACAGGCAAAGAGGGGCCAAGGTGCTGGGATCAAGGCAAAGAGTTCCAAAGTTGCAGGCATAGTTGCTGAGTTCATGGCCACCTATGGTGGAGCGGATGGAAGAAGTGAATGCTCTTTGGTACCATTACATCACATAACAAGAGGTCTGCAGCACTAACTAATGTGGATTGAACAGGCCTTGGGTTTGTGGGAAATTTGATCAATGAAAAGAGAGGTGAGATGGGCATAGGAATTTTCCTGGTTTAATAAAAATGAATTCATAAACCTCAAATATTTACTTTCAGAATCTCTTGAACTCTATCAGTCTTTAAATCCTGCCTTAGAACTTACCTCTTTGACCACGTCCATGCTCACTTCGTCTTTGCCTTGCTGAGGGTCTGACCCTGCCTTTGAACAGCACTCCAAGATATTAAGTTACGTGTGAAGGGTGCTATAAAAATGCAGGGTGTTGGTATTTTAAATTCATGCAATACATAATGCCACATACTAGTTCTTACCAGTATGTAGTTCGGCCAACCTAGTCTGGCCGTGCTTCAGTTCGATGTCAGCAATCTATGCCTGTTCCTTACACCATCAGCTGTGGATCCCTCCAACACATTCATTTTAAAAATGGCAGCGTAGAGTGAAGTGCTGCTCTGCCTCATCAATGTCGACATTTTTTCCCCTCGCTAATCTTTTTTCCCTTCAGTTTGCTCTCTTCTTCTAAAGGCGTTTGACTCCTTTTTCCTTCTGGTGTAGAGTTCCATTGGCTCCAGGCACCCTCTGGTAATTCGCCCAAGGGGCCATTATTTATGTGTGGCACGGATTGTGGACCAGACTATTCAACCAGAGGGCATCACAGCCCAGCTCGATCAGTCTTTGCCCAATGTCTGCACACGCACATGTTTCAACAAAGGTATCAGGATAGCACTCAGGAGTGGCAACCCTAGATGATTTTCTTCTCCCTAACCCATGTGAGATCAGCTAAGTCAGCACAGACTGAGATTTAGGCCATTTGGCAATGGCATGGCCCTTTTCACTTCAACTAATGTTAGGGCGTTTTCATGAGCATGCGCTAATCAAAAAGATCGGGCTACTACATGTAGAGCTCACTGTGCCCCAGTAAACCCTGAAATCACCTCTTCTCAGCAAAAAGTCAATGGTCAAAATATATGGGGAGAAATTCCACCTGGGTGCAGATTAACTTTATTTTGTTAGCATTTCAAAGTGCCCAGAATTTGGCAAATTCTTAAACACAGCCTTCATTTTGAAGCAAGTTTTCTCTAACTTCTTTTAAGAAATACAGAAACCGACTTCAAAGCTAAGACTGAATTTCAAATTTTGCCAAAATTCTGGACTGCTCAAGATGCTACATAAATAAGAGTAAATCCAGACCCAGGTGGAATTTCTCCTCATGCTTTGGGTAGGAACAGTATTGCCATTCCACTGAGCAGTGAAGGAATTCTGGCAGCAACTTTAAACAGCCTGGCCTTAGACGACCGGGCGGTGTTGCATGTTTCAAGGTTGTTTTCATCTCTGGGATTGGGTTTGAATCTGTGGTCTTAGTGTCTAACAATGATCAATATGAAGAACTGGCAGCAAGCACCAATGAGACCTCAAGTTCCATCTAGTCTCAGCCAGTAAGACTATTTTGTTTTTAAGATAGTGGAATCATAGAACCATAAAATATTACAGCACAGAAGGAGGCCATTTGGCCCATCGTGCCTATGCCTGCTCTTTGGAAGACCTACCCAATCAGTCCCACTCCCCCGCTCTTTCCCCGTAGTCCTGCAAATTTTTCTTTTTCAAGTACCTATCCAATTATGAGTGAATTTAAATTATTTCAAAATTTCTGTGAGAGCTTTTCAAACTAAAGTGGTCTCATAGGCTAAGACTGGGTGGGATTTGGAGTGTTTGATCTAGTTTTCTGCAATGAAAACTCAGAACTGAAATGCATGAACGATGTTAGTGTAGAAGTATTAGTACTATCACTACCATGCCTTTGAGCCACTGATGATTTCTGACACTGCTACACTTCTAATAAATAATAAATATAAATCATAGACACACAGACTTTCATACTCAACTCATACTTCACAGAAAAATCTATCAGCTCGCTAATTTTATCTTTTCACTAAACCACAAACTGGCATTAAACACAACAACTTGCGTTCATATAATGGCCTTCACAAGGGTCAGTGTCTTGTAGTGATTACTCGTGTGGTGTATAAACATCTCCATGGACTAGCTGAGGCTTAAGGCTTGTTTTTGTGTTGTAGCTATGAAACTCTACGTAACGTACTACAGGAGTTTTTACTGAGAGGTTGTAGGGGAAGACACAAATACACAAACACGTTCAAACACTAACAAATACACAATCGCTCAACTTCATAGTATATCCTGTGAAGCGCTTTGAAACGTCCTCTACAACAAGTGGATTCCTCAGAATCCCAAGCTGCTTATGATGTATTTTAATGCATCACATTCACAGACATCAGTGTGGCTGGAGAGATATTAGAGAATGTCTGTGTTGATGTTATAAAAAGGCTGCACTGTAGTACACCTCAGGGGAGTGGGCTTGGGCGATTGCACTGTTCAAGTACAGGCTTGGATTTCCAAAGCGTCATTTTCATTCAATTTCTAGCACACAGGTTGTCAGCCATTCACAAACCTCCCGACATGCCTGCATGTCAGCATAATTGAAATACATCTGATCTTTCAACATCAAAGGATGGAGCCACCTTAACTCTTCCCATTTGACCCTCCACCTTGCTCTTTCTTTACAAATCGCACCTGAAATGTTTCCTCTTCATCCGTGCCTATGGTCATCTTTCCTTTCTCCCTGGTTCAAAATCAAACTCAATCATGGTTCAGTGCTACTAGACGCTACCTCGTATAAAGGGTACCATATAAATGCAAATTGCCATTGGTTGAATCTGGCACTAGCTTAATATATACAGGATATATACATGCCTATATAAACGCATATACAGAAAATTGTGTATCTTTGAGAAGGAGGGGGAATAAATAATGCTGAGAGATTTGAAACAGGATAACATACCTGCCGGTGTTGGGACAGCGAATACTGCAGTCCTGAAGGCTGTTGGTTTTGTTGCATCTTCTGCAGCAGTATCTTCTGTTGTAGTGTTATGGGAATGCTCTGTGCCCGTTGCAGAGCCTGGTTCTGGAGGTGCCCCGACTGCGAGGGTGGTGGCTGCTGCTGCATCGGTGCGGAAGGCTGCTGCTGCTGTGTGTAATGCAATACAGAAGATTTGTTCTGGGATCCCAACATGGCAGGGATCTGTTGGCCTGGCTCTGGGTCAAAGTGAGACAAAGGTTTGGTGTTATTGTACGAAAACTGATCCGGCGATGCAGAGTTAGTATTCATCAGGCTACGGTTTATGCTGTGTGGCTGCTGCTGCTGATGACTCATGATATCCATGTGGCCAGTCTGTGCAGGAGCCTTGTAGGGGTAGTTATTTATGTTTTTTGTCTGACCGCTGTTGGTTGACACCCCGGTGAGCATCGGGTTCTGGGGGCTAAAGGGTTGTTGGTGGAGGGAGGGACTCGTGATCTTCTCTTGGCCAAAGCTTCCTGGAGCAGGGCCTGGTGGTGGAGCAGGCGGCCAGTTAGCTGCTTGATTTTGCTGCTGGTGTTGCAGCATCGCGTGCTGCTGCCGATTATCCGCGATCTTTTTCAGCTGCTGCGCATGAGACAGGTCGTGCCAGTTGGACAATCCTCGGTTCGCTGCAGACGTCAAAGATTGCTGAGGCTGGTTCTGAGTTTGAGGCGTCGAGGAGATGGGTGACGGAACTGATATAACTGCATTCGCCATGGAATATGGTGGTCCTGCAGAAGGGGGCCGCACTTGGGGTGACCCTACGGGTGCCTGAGTGAAACCTGGCGAGTACTCAGTTTTTACGACAGTATTTTCCAACTGTGAGGGAGGTTTTGGGGTACTGCTCTGGCTTCTCTGCACGAGGTCCATGTTGAACGATTCCTCATTCCTGATGCTTGGGTTCAACATGTTGTCCAAGTCAATGTCACTCAGTGGAGGGACGCCTGACATGTTTGTCAGTTCATCAAACAAGTCCTGCAAATCCGGATCAAATAAGTGCATTCCTATATCATCTTTGGAATCAAATAACATACTGTTGTTGGAGATTTGGTTGTTTAAATGCTCACTGCAGGAGACACTCTCCACTGGCTCCTGTTTCATCTCTTTGTTGAGTGGCATGCTGAAGCCAGAACTGATATCTCCACCGTTGGCTTGGGTGTTTCCTATCAAGCCACTGTCTTTTCCTTGGGTCCCAGGTCCCATAGTGACCGAGCCCTGCATTGTTTGGCCTTGCCCATTGCTGAGCGGATGCCCACTTTGGCTCACTGCAAGACTGCCCTCGTCCACTCGCATTCTTTTAATGTCCATCGTGAAAGTCCCGTCTGAGATGCCATTTTGTCTGTCAGTTCTGATAGGTGAACTGTTTCCTTCCAGCTTCCTCTTTATGGAACCCTGTAACTAAAAGAAGGAAATTGCATTAAGCCTTTGTTAGCTCCAAATAGTCACAGATACACATATATAAGATACCAATCCTGGCAATAATTCACTTCCAGTAACTGTCTGGTTAAAATTGGGAAGGTCCCAAGTTCAATGTCAATCCGTGCCAAGTTTCCTGATCTAACAAGGGTTAACTGTAGGGGGCATCACAACGATTTAGCACCCTGGATTTGGGAGGAGAAAATTAGTCAGCGTCCACACTCCTGATTGCTACCCATTGACCAGTACTGGAGGTAGAAATGTATAGATGCCAGGTTAAGTCAGGATCTCTGCCTCTCCCTTATGATCAGAAAGCTCACAATCAGCTGGCTGACACGCCTATGGTAAGTAACCTCCCCTTTCTCCCTTGGCGCTCAGCAAGAGAAAAAGGAGAGGTTACCATAGGCGTGGACGAAGAGGAAATATCTTCAGGTGCAATTTAAAAACGAATAAAGAGGGAGCAAGGCAGAGGGATAGAGGGCAGGGAGTTCAAAGGTTCAGAGCATAGTGGCTGAAACTCACTGACGAGGATGGGAGAAACACAAGTCTAGGCTGTCGCTCCATTGCAGTGCTGGGAGTGTGCTGCATTGTTGGAGATACCCACAAATGGCCATATTGAAATAAAGTCCTGTCTGCCTGCTCAGGTGGACATTAGAAATCCCATGACATTTTTGGAAAAGAGAAGGGAGTTTCTCCAGGCGTTCGGGCGAACAATTTCCCCAGATAAGATTGGTCATTCACTTAATGGCTGTTTGTGGGAAATTGCTGCTCTTAAATTGGCTGTCGCATTTGTCTACAAATACACATCCACTTAGGGAAACTTTGTGAAGCATTCCAAAACATTCTGAATGCTATAGTCGCTGAACCAAATGTAAGGATTATTAATATTGCTATAGAATTGGAAAAATGACAGGTAGATTTTCTGATACTTCCAAATCAGGCTGCTTACAGCAACAACAACATGCATTTATATAGCACCCTCTACGTCGGTAGCAACCCGGAGCACTTATAATATAATAATAATATAATCCTTGCATTTGATATAGCGCTTTTCACATCTTCTGGACGTTTCAAAGTGCTTCACAGAATATACTGTAAAGTGAATTGACTGTATATTTGTGGGCGAAACGCGGCAGCCAATTGCGCACAGTAGTGTTCCACAGATAGTCGTGGATTGAAAATGAACAATTTTTTTTTCTTTTGGAGGGATTATTATTATTCGGCTTGTGAAGTAAGGAAACTTGCCCAAGGTTTCGCCCTGCCTGGAATTGAACCCAGGTGTCTCACTTGCAAGGCGAGTGCTCTAACCACTGAGTTACAGGACTCCACTTATTCTCTGTTAGTCAGAGCACTAGCCTCTCAAAAGGCTAGAATGGTTCAGAGGTATTGAGAGCTTACAGTATCTAAGCTGTTCGCAATGCAATATATACATTACTAGGATTACAAGTGAGCCATGCTCTCAAGAGCCATGGGGAAAATTTATGTAACAATGGTAATCCTTTAGGCATTTCTGTCATCTCTAACAGTACATACAATGAGTCAGTGCAATAATGCCAGCAAAGAAATCACAATCACTAAGAATTAAACTACAACAAGCTACTCACAATCCTCTGAATTCTTCAGATGCAAATACTTCCATATACAACATACACTTTGATTCCCGTATGTTTTCAGAGCTTTTCAGTCATTATACTCAGATGATGATAACACAGCAATGTTTTGCTTGTTAACATTTCTTTCATATTAACTTTGGCAACTAAATCAAATACTATTTTGGGTTCCTTCCTCTCTGCCACCCCGCCATCCCGGATTTCTACCAATGTAACTGCTGATGACACCTTTACATTGTGGATCTGCTCTCAGTACCGACCGATCATATCAACAAGGTTAAACTGCTGATTTTGCAGAGCTAATAATAATAATAATAATCCTTGCATTTGATATAGCGCTTTTCACGTCGGGAGGACATCCCAAAGCGCTTGACAGAACACACTGTAAAGTGAATTGACTGTATATATGTGGGCGAACGCAGCCAATTGCGCACAGCAATGTCCCACAAACAGTCGTAGAAATGTCCCGTAAACAGTCTAGTCCTAGAGAGCACCACCAAAACTCCAGCTCAATGACAATGAGTTACATGTATCACTCTTCACATCAGTTAAAGTCTTGGAGCACTTGTGACTACAAAAACAACAACAACAAAATTATATTTGTATAGCGCCTTTCATGTCGGGAGGGCGTCCCAAGGAGCTGGACAGTCAGTGTTTCGGACCCGAGCTGGGGGGACTAAGGAGTAATCCACCGATAGTAACATAGAAAAGCAACAACACAAAGAGGCTATTTTGCTCATTGAGACGGTTCTAACAGTTTATTAGATCTTGGCAGATTTTAGATGAAAAGAGAATGAATTTATCCACCAGAAGAGACGTCACTAAATGGTCATTCGCCTTCTGACATTGAAGCATTGTGTGTTGTTTCAATGTGATAATGTGCTATAAACTGCAAATTCTTCCAGTCTATGTTCTTTGTTTACAATCCCTTTGATTCTGCCTTCTGCCTTCCAATGTAAGTTTTCATAGGAGGATGTTTCAAAGTGTTTCACAGGATTGTGGTAGAATGTAATGTGCTTGTATTTCTTAGGCAAATTCAATAGCCAATTTGCACATAGAACAAATTTATATGTGGAATTGTTGGCCAGGACACCGAAAAAAATTCAGTTTCTTTTCAAAAAGTGCCATGGAATCTTTAACATCCATCTGAACAGGCAAACAAGATCTTGGTTTAATGTCTCATAGGAAGGCAGCGTCTTTGATAATACAAGTGCTCTCCCAACTCCACGGTGTGAGTTTAATGTCCCAATGTGGAGCTTGAACCCATGAAAGAGTAAGAGTTCTACCAACTGAGCTTGGCTGACACCTTTTTAAAGCCTAATTTGGTTGATGATTTTACCATTTTCTGTTTAAATGACAAACTCTTTTCAACAACTGGCTGGGAGGAGTTATCACGTTCAGCAGCAGAGGAAAGCTGAATTAATGCGATTGCAATGATTGATCACTGAAGAACACTGCCTTAACAACTGCACTTCTACGGATGTTAAATTAGCTTCCTCAAGCTAGCAGGTTATGGAACTTCTCCAAGTCTACAAAAATATTCACTAAAAAAAACATATATACACAGAATGAGACAGCTGACATTGAAGTTAATCATAATTCTTTGAAGCACTTTGATTTGTGAAAAAAAAGGTTCTGGTGGCGAGACTCCCTCTTTGAACATGAGTGTTTTCCAGTGGAAAATCAAGAAAAACATTAGAAAAGGAAAGGACAGTTAATCCAAGTTGGGCCAGAATGCACCAACATGCAGCATGAACAAATTCATCCCGGCAGACTGCTGGCAAGCTCTGCTTTATGTATTGTTCCTGCCCAGTAGTGTAACAGTAATAAGCAGTTTAAATGGAGAATCGTCACCAGATAGAGAAACATAGAAATGTTCTGCACAAAGGGGAGCCATTCAGCCGATCGCGACCGTGCTATTAATAACAATAATAATCCTTGCATTTAATATAACGCCTTATCATGTCTTCAAGACGTCTTAAAGCGCTTCAAAGAATATACTGTAAAGTGAATTGACTGTATATTTTGTGGGTGAAACACGGCAGCCAATTGCGCACAGAAGTGTCCCACAAACAATCATGAATTGAGTGACCAAATATTTATTTACTTTCGAAGGGATTATTACCCTGGAAAAGCAATCTGACAATCAACTAACAACTGGGTTCCTACTTACTGCAGGGTAAACAGAGGCATGTGGAGTAAGGAAACTTGCCTAACGTTTCTGTTGCTACCCAGAAAAATGCAATTAACAGATATAAGTTTATCGTCTGTTGGCAGTGAGAATTGTTCATTTGCACTATCCTCAATGGTTTGATAGCCTGCCCATACTCAGAGATCGAGTAGTGTACTTCACTAATACAGTACAGCCATGTTATACCATGGTAGTTGGGGTCCATAAAATGCCAACAACACTAATAACTGGGTTGGTAACTATAAAGGTCAGTGGTCAAGCATAGGGTTCCTGCAAGCAGCCATGATGTAGTTCCAGGTACGAGCAACATTCTACATTAGCAACTCTAGCTGTCATGCATTCTAGTGAATGCTTTTTTGACCCCATCTCTCAGTTCACACAGCTTTCAGGAATAGGGTAACTTTTACCTGGCAGATTTCCCCCCTTTACCTGGCAGAGTTCCTGTAGCCCAGGATTATGAGACCACACTTAACATGCAGAGTAATTCTGTCCACACCAGGAAATGAACCTGTGGGACAACACTAGCTGCATTGAGCTATCGTACCATTAGGGGAGCTCTTGTGTTAAAAGTTGTCTTTGTTGCATAAAGTGGCACAAAATGGAATCAAGTGACACCTCAAATAATTTCTGCTTCAAAACATTCATTCAGAAACTCTAGGCTACATCCATTTAAAAGAGATTTCATTACATAATACAAATGATAAGGCATTAATTTTTGGGTGCTTGCTGACATATTGGCTTTCATTGCCTGGTGACTAGGTATATGGCACTGCTCTTTCTATCTATTGCATGGGTCCACAGTGAAATGAATGGTCAATCTTAACTCAGCTCCTAACTAGCACATGTCCACTGTGCACAGCTTCCCATAACTCAACGTTGGGTTGCATTAAATTGAAAAGTCAATGACAGTATGCGAGAAATGGAAACGTCATAAGCCTATTAAGAGGGACATTATTTAAGGTGTCACTTGAAAGAAGCAGACCTCTGAGGACAAATTTATGTAGCATTGTTGGGCTGTATAGAGAGGGCTTCACTCTGAGTCTAACCAATGCAACAACTCACCTGAGAGTGCCTTTGATGCTCACACTGGACATATGCACAATTGTAGCGCTGACATGCCTCCTTTTAGAAAGCAATTCAAACCAGAGCCCATCACTGCTGTACAGTAGCAAGGCTTAAGG